TACCATTTAAATCAGTTTTGATGTCAACTTATTGACATCAATAATTATCTTAATATTGCATAAATAAAATGATCATAATTATTAGATTTATAATAATTGGACTAATGTAGCCTTGGCCTGATTTGGCATTGCTGTTCTCATGAGAACTTGAACTTGGATGTCTTTGGTCCAGTAGAAAACTTAAATAACTAAACTCAACTGCCTTTTAGTTGTTTACATGCATGTTATCAAAGCTGACTAAAACAGGAAGGCTCCAATGGCTGTTTCTTTTCATGCCTGCTGTCAATTGTATCATTGTTTACTATAGTTATTTCCTGTCTTTTCTCTTGAAAGCTTAAGGAGCAACACCTGAGAATCTCCTCTATTTTAATGCCTACAGTAACTATGAAGTGGGTGCATTTAGTTTAAAAAGAGTAATCTACCCAAATACATGTAATGAATTCTGTGGACATGACCAGCTTTTCAACTTTCTTCTTGGTATCTGTTAGAGATGGAAGTTACAATAATTGCAGTCTAAAAGAACTTGATGTCAACAAGTTGAAGATATTTTAGTGGCACAAGTAGGCTAACAGAAGATGTATTGGACATTTTATGCATCAACACCAATTTTGCCATTAGCTGGTTCACACATCAAGCCCTTTTTTTGTTTTAACTAAGAGTTATGGAATAGTGACTGGGTTGACCCATTATGCTAAATTATAAGATAGTGTGAAACAAATCAGTTTGATTGGAAATGCCTGAATATATGAGAAGAATGCAGTTGTGATTTATTAACTATGCACTGTCAAAATATATGTTGTTATTCTTAAAATACTCTGTCTTTTGACATTTAATAACTGGGCACTCCCTTAGATTCAATTTTTTTTTTCATTTCAGTTCATGAATATATGGACTTAATTTTGCAATATATTTTAAAACTTTGAATGCTGATATGCTGCTAATTGTCAAGGAAGAATTTTCCATGTTTTATGTTGTTTTGCTTTTATTATGTGAAAATTCTCTACAGTAATTGATAAGCATCCATGAAGGGTCCATTCCTCTAGTCAAAATCATATTATTGCATAAAAGTAGGAACATGGGAAATAACATTCCAAATTATTTTTAAACTGCTATTTCCCATAGGAAAACAGGATATGCCTTTTCTGTTGTCCAATCTTGATCTTTCTTTGAGACAGTAAAATTTTATTATAAAATTTTATTATATTATAATAGGAGCCATTGCAATTTTCATTTGTTATTTGCATTAGGGAGACGGTTTCCTATATTTTAAAAAAAGATTCACAGAACAATACTGCTGCTATCTATAAATAGAGGGAGTACAATCATAACAGGAAGATGGAGATTTTAAAACAACAAAGAAGAAGAAGAAGCTATATACAGCATTGTTCTTTTGAAGCAATTAGAAATTCTTTAAACAAATTGGCTTATGTAAATAAGAGTTTTGGTCAAGATGTCATAGCCATTGTTTAGTGTTCTTTAATCATGACAGCAACAACAAGGATTATTCAGGCATTGCATTGACTAAGCATATAACATGCCATTAGAAGTGTAATTGGAGATATTGCAGTATTTATTCTTAACTTAAAATATTTTCACTAACGGGCTAATTTTCCACCTGAAAATTGCATTGAACTTTCTATTTCAAGGGAAATATTTATGAAGTTGCTTTATGATAGAGGAGCTTTTCCCATCTGCACACGTGTCATGGTACAATTGGTAAAATTTGCAACCCAATTTTCTGCCTTTTTAAGGCTTAAAATACAAAAGCTACCCTGTAAGCTATTAAATATGATTAGCACAGATTTTAAAAATGAAACATTCAATTCTTCTCAAAACTTGGAAAAAGAAATGTATCTGTGTGAAAGACCTGTCCATTGTGCATTATAACCTGCCTACTGCAGCTCTAAAATCTTCCAAATTATCTACCTAGGTTTATCCAAAGCCCATATTTTAAATATTTTTCAATGACCCCCAACTTAGAATAAAAAAAGAAGTAAAATTCAGATGCCCACAATAAACCTCTTGATCCAGAACCTTTTCATCCACGCTGCTGGAATCTAAACCAGAGCAAAGGGGAGAGAATGCTGAATTGGTTTGAATGCTGAAGAAGTGCCTTAGGAGTAATTGTTTGTCAGCAGCAAGTTAGTTATACAACTGTTAAGCTCAGAGGGTGCTTGGCTATCTAGAGCTTAAGTAGGCACATGACTCAGTGAGCAAACAGAATGTATAGTTTCCCACAAAACTGCTGTGTTCTTATAAACTTATGGGAGTTAGCTAAACTCTTACATTTTTAAGAGTCTACTGACTGTACTTTAATTTGGCAATATAGTGCTGGCCTCAACTGGCCAAGACCTGACTTACACTTTTGCTTATTTCTTTTGTTGTAGCCCAATTGCTGTTCTTTGAATTTAGGTCTGTCTGATTGCCCCCAATACATGGTGGAGCTACCCAGCCTGAAATATCTTCAACATGTTGGGAGAGGCTCCAAGGTTGTTCAAACTCCAGAATTCCATGTGGATTGTTTCCAGTATGCACCAGATCCACCTTGCCTGGGAGATCTTAGGTGTCTTACACTTTGGGCAAGTAGTTGGGAATGGGTTTCATATTAGACATATTTGGTGCCCACCAGCAGAAAGTCTGCATAGCACACCCAAAAGGCTACAGGATGGTCAATTCTGGCAAATTCTAAGGAGTTTTCTGCACCATTTTCCAAAGCTACCTAGCTTTATTTTCTGCCAATGATTCTTAAGGCTTCTTATTTCTTCTACATAATAATTCAAAACCACATTAGTATGGTTCAATGCTACTTCTTTGTGAATTCTAGGCAATAACCTCTTTACATGCATCCTTTTCTTTCTTACTATGTCAGAGAAGATTACAATAAGAAACTAAACAGATTCCACAAACTATCAAAGAAACCATGTGCTTCAACACAAAGAACAATTGGGTTATTATGAGACAAGCTTATATAATTGTGGTAGGTAGTTCTTCAACATACCTATCAAGCAGTGGCTAAGAATGAAAGGATTGTTCTATTGTGTGTCCTAGATACCTGTGGTATTAGAGCCGAATATATTTCCTACGTTAGCTGGGCCTGTGAATCTTAAATCAATTTGCAAGAGACATTTAAACTCTGTGGAAATCTGTTCACTGTATTACCTACTTATTCACAGCTATGGATTGGACATAATTTATCCGAGAATATCCAGTCTGACCTTTTAAATTCTAATCAAGAAATGTGTAATGTTATTTTGAAGTTTGTCAGGCTCAGTAAAATGTAGTCCTTCATTTTCCTGAGCAAGCTGAAAATGTCAACTATCTCTTACTCCATTATATCTCAACATTGACCAAAATAAATGAACAGTGCCTCAGACCACATACCATGCCTAAGGTGATATTATCTGGGTGTTTTTCTTAGAAAACACATTTTTGTCACTGATGAGAATCAGACAGGAGAGCTAAAACCTTAATACTACTCAGTCCCTCCTATCCTTTAGCACAGTGTTTCTCAACCTTGGCAACTTGAAGATGTCCGGACTTCAACTCCCAGAATTCCCCAGCCAGCATTCGCTGGCTGGGGAATTCTGGGAGTT